AAGTTGCGCAATGATTACGAATTGAAAAATGAAATAAGTAACTTTATTTGTTTGAAAATTTTTATCAACGTCCAATATTTAAGCTCGTGTCTTTAAACCTCCTACTTTTTCTTACACGCATATGAGTCTAGGTCTAGATGTAGTTTTTTTTTTTTTTTTTTTTTATCAGACGACAACATCTAGCCTATCCTACTCTAGTCTATATTGGAAGGGGGGAACTGAACCTAAAGAAACCGACGAAATCTAGATGTAGATATGAATCATATAAAATTAAACTCTATCCAAATCAAGGATATATATACTGTCACCAAGTCTAAATCTCGATAGGGTATGCATTTTAAAATTTGAACTGAAATCTAAGAAAAAAAAATATGGTAAATCTAAATTAGGTATGAATAATATCCGACCCATACATTGACATGTTTATGAACAACAATTCCTTCACCACAGAGATATTTCTTGGCTTTTACTCGAACCAAAAAAAAAAAAATGGAATAGCCAGATATGTCACAAACTTACGTAGGCTTGATTACTACTGGTAAGTTAGAATAGATGGACATTGACCGTAACCCAATCCAGAATGACATAATACCACACATAATGGTTCTTTCTAGCAGCAATAATAGAAAGTTTATACTTACATGCAGTTCAACTTAACTCAAGTTCAGCGAATTTCATGAATCGCTGGGGTTGGTTTAGTGATCAAAGGAAGCTTTTAGAGTTCTTCTCGCCGTTAAATTCACGATTCGAATGTTAAATATTGTAATTAGGGATAAATAAGGATGGGAAAAATGATTATTTAAAAAAAAATGTGATTCATGCATTTAAGCATTTAGTACATCAGTTTTCAGGCTCCTTGTGTTATTCCTTTTCTACAGTAACCATTTCGTACATTGATTTGTAAAGTTTTTGTCCCTTCTGACAGTGGATTCTTGCCAATAGATATTTATCAGAGAGGGGGAAATAGATGCCAAGAACACAACTCAGTTACAGCTACCACAATGATTAAGAGAGGAGCCACAGATAGGACTCGAGGGAGTTCCTAGGAGCAGATGTACGGAATCCAAATAATTGAGAGGATGCACGGAAGAGAGCTCGGAATTAAAAAAAAAAAAAAAAAAAAGCAAGAGGTACACGTTCAATTCAATGATATGTTTTTTTTTATCGCAATTCAATGATATTTCAAAACATTGAACTTGGACTGCAAACTTGCCGTTTGCTAATAAAGTTTTTTTTACGTGTTTCATGAACACATTTATCAATTATTTTTTTTAATTTTATATACATTAAATTGCTATAATATATTTTTTCATGAAAATATCAAAAGACGGCTCGCAAGATTTACTGGGAAAGCGGTAAATTATTGGCATGTTGAGTTTTTGCTTAAATTTGGTGATCTTTTCTCTTGCAATTTAATTTTTATAAAGATATTATTTTAAGAATTGATATGGTAATTGAGCACTTGTAAAACATTAATGAGTGTGTTTGGATAGGAGATTATTTGAAATATTATTTGGAATAATTACTGTAGCACTTTTTGTGATGTGATGTCTGCGAGATAAAAAAATTAATTGAAAAGATAAAAAGATGTGTTGGAAATTATATTTGTGATATAAGCAAATAATTTTTGGCCATTATTTGATATTGTATTAATTTTCTAAAATAAATATTAAAAACAAAAATACGAGAATATTTTTATGTCGTTTTCTTGAATCATCTGTCACGCTTGTACAAGTTGAGGACGAATCAAACAAAAAGAAAAAGGAAAAAAAAAACCATGCATCAGTGTCGTAAAAGTTATGTGGTCCTATGAAATTAAAACAAGTGTTATCTTTAAGTCTGCTTTCCTTTTGGAGTCGAACTTCTCAAACTTTGTCCAAATTGAAAGCTACTGGTAGCTTTATAGGAAGTTCTACTTCAATTGTCAACATGTTTTGCCTGATCAACATTTCCTATTAGTTTCCATCACATTAGTTTCTAGCCTATTACCATTAGTATTTGTTTGGTGACACATACTTACATCAGGATCCATTAGATGCAAGTTGCATGTGTCCGATCAAATAAAGTCATGTGCAATTTGTTGGTTATCGGATTCAGTGATAATAACCCGATCCAGAAAGATGTCACACTACATATAATGGTTATTTTTAGCAGCAATAATAGGTAGTTTTTACTTGCACGCAGTTTAACATAACTCCAATTTAGTGAATTTCTGAAATCCAGATCATTAACCTGCTATTCATAAATCACCGGAGTCGATTTAGTGATCAGGGAAAAGCTCCTAGAGCTCTTTTCGATATCAGGTTTAGGGTTCGAATTTTGAATATGATAGTTAAGGATAGAAAGGGGATGGAGAGAGAAGGGTGGTTTTGGATTTCGTAATGCATTGAGAAAAGTAAGTTGTGTTTGGATTGCATTTTCCATGGATTTTTCGTTGGAAAATTACTGTAGCGATTTGATGTATGTGAGGTAAAAATGTGATAGGTAAAAAGGTGATAGGGAAATATGTTCACGGAAACAAGACCATTTTTCACCGAAAAATGGCTATCCAAACACAACTCTGGTTTCGAAATGATTCAAAAAGAGCTCGGAATAAAAAAAGAAGAAGCAAGAGATATACATTCAATGATATTTCAAAGCATTAACAAAAGTAAGGTTCCGAAATGATTGGCAAATTCTATTCCACCCTTTTTCCTTTCTTTCTTTTTGTTTGTTAAGTGAGAGGTTTTGGCTATCAAACTTTTGGTATACTTTGCAATATTGATGAATAGTAGTCCGTTATAATAAATTTATATAAAGAAGCTTTTAACAATTGCATGGTAGCTGAGCACTTCGAAAAACAAATTAATTTTCTAAAATAAATATTAATAAAAAATAAGAATATCTTTATACCATTTGCTTGAATCTGACAAGAATCTGATACAATTGTGTTTTGTGCAGTTTCGTCCGATCATTGTATATGTTTAAATTTTTGATATCCCAATACTTCATAATATTGTGCTAAATATAAATCAAATATCTTATTCACATTCACTATTTTCACCCGAAATACAATAATGTAATATATTTGTACATCACGTAACGTAAAAAATATATCAATCGATACCATGTCCCAACTACTTCAATTGTCAATTTTTGTTTTTGTTTTGGCCTGATTGGCTTCTCATCACATTAATTCTCCTTGGGTAGGTAAGAAGTTCTCCTAGTTTCTAACCTATTACTAGTAGTATTTATTTATTTATTTTGCTGACTCATACTTACATCAGGATGTATTAGATGCAAGTTGTTGGGAGCTGTGATCCGATCAAAATGACTTCCAGTTTTGTGAAATTTGTATTGTATCAGAGTCAATTATTTACGGTTCCCGATTCAATGACTTACAGCGACGTCCAATTTGCTGGCGTCCCATTCAATGACTAACAGTTATTCGCTGACTCATACCCTTCCTTTAGCTGACTCAGAGTCGCGTTGGTATCTAGTAATACAATCAGTCTGTCACTATCAAATGATTGTGACCATTAAAATTTTTTGCTCCCTTTAATTACTACTTTTTTTATTCTCATCAATAGATAACATCTTTAATTACTTTGACAAGCCTAATGATTGGTTTTCGACCGATAAAAATTGCTGAGTAACATCCCACCGTCCCATTTTAATAATTCATTTTTTAATTAAATAATATAATTAACTTTTAATTTTTTAAAATATTCTTATTTAATTTATTTTATTACGAGTGAGTGCAATTTACTTTATTCGTTAATTACTTGGATTCATATCTTGAATAGCGCGATTGATTTTTCATAGTATTATTGTTGTAATTAATGTAAAGATATAGTGTGATTCGTCATACTTCTAATATCAATATAAGGGTATTTTAGAAAAATAGTAGATTAGATTTACTCGTCCAAATAAATTTAACTAATTTTTTCTTAAACTGTGTTTAAAAAAATCACGACCATCAAAGTGAGACGGAGGGAATATTGTGGAATAACCTGTGTGTTTTCGTACTTAGATTGGTATCTATTAATGTAATCAGTCTTATTTTGGTATAAATCAAATTATTTGTCAAGACTGATAATTAGTTTTTGACCATAAAAAATGCTCTAAATAACATTGTGAGAAACTAATTCGACATTGGATTTTTTGATAGAATATTTTCTAACGAGCGCCTGACGGACACTCAACCACTAATTCGGGGTGTAGTTAGGCGATGGGAAAGATGATCTGATACTCGAGGGTGTAAAGGGTGTGGTAAAAATATCTAATACACTGGGCTAATATGCATAGTCACATTAAGGGTGTGATAAAAAAAAGTAGCGCATAATGGACACTCGTTAACATATCTAAATTATACTCCCTCCGTCCCATTTTGATAGTTCTGTTTCTTTTTTCACACAGTTTAAAAAAAAAGTAGTTAATTTTGTTGGAAAAGTAAATTTAGATTGCTATTTTTTTAAAATACCCTCACATTAAATATGGTACAACTTTATGGGAACTTGAATTGATGGTAAAAAAAGAATCAACTCTCATTAAATGGGGTAGATTTATAGTAATAACTACTTACATTGAATAAGGATATTTTAGAAAAATTAAAATACAACTACATTCTTCAATTGGAAAGTGGACTACAATTTGGGACAGATGAAAAAGGAATATAGGACTATCAAAGTGGGACGGAGGGAGTATCTAATATACTCCTCTGATATACATAGTCACATTTCATTCACTCAATATATTTAGATACTTTTTTGAATTAATTATACTTTTTCAAAAGTTTACACCTAGAAAGAATCCCTCTCCCAAGTGGCTAATAGGCACCCGAGCCGCGTTCATGAAAGTATAAGCTTGACGAGTCCAGGCTTGTCCCAATTAATGGTATCCGGTCAATATTACGTTTGTCAACTTGTTTGAGACGCAGGATAAAATATCTTCTGATTGCTTGCCTAGCTTCATTTCCTTATTCACCGACCCCGTCCCCCTGACCCCTATAAATACCTCAAGCTTCACTGGCTTTCCTTCCATCGTACTTCGTCAAGTTCTCTTGCATTTGTATTACAGTTCTAGTCTTCCTAGTTTTTTGTATTTCAGTTTTCGTTGAGAGAATCTGTGTTCATTGCAATGGCACAGAACCAAGAAGTAAGCAACACTGTTGGGAAGCCCATCCATTGCAGAGGTAAATAATACTAAGACTCTCCATTACTTAGTCGTTGTTGTTGAGTTATCTTCCATGTTATTATTTACATGCTTGAATAAAATACTATTGTTCTTCCATTCCATGGCAACCTCGTACTAGGAATGCGTCTAAATTGTGTATGTCTCCCTCTTTGACAGTCATGGTAGTGAAAGTATAATAATCTTGCCCTGTTTTTTGAGTTTCTTTAATAGCCCTCTTGCCCAGTAAGTAATTACTGGTTTTTATGTTGAATTTCTCTGCTCAATCTATCTCCAATTCCGGCAATATAATAATGTGGAGTATGTGGAAATTATCCACAATCCTCTGTTACACGGATTCTGTGCTTTCTATCATGGACATCCCAGCACATATGTACTTGTTCTTGAAATCTGCCAGAAGATGTGTAATTACTTCGCTTGTTGGATGCAGCTGCCGTTGCCAGGAAAGCAGGGGAGCCATTAGTGATAGAGGAAATCATAGTTGCCCCTCCAAAAGCCCGTGAGCTTCGCGTTCGAGTCTTATGCTCCGCCCTCTGTTTCAGTGACATCCATTTCTGGAGGCTCAAAGTATGAATCTCATCTCCTCTAATCACCACACAGATCAGCATCACTCTGCACATGAATCTGTACTCAGCTCATATTCTGACAAACTTTCTTGTTCTGTTTGAAGGAACCTCATGGGTATTATCCAAGAATTTTTGGTCATGAAACTGTTGGGTGAGTTTTTTCATTCTTGCTAAGTACTAACCAGGTCGTGGCTTTGCTCAAAGCATTTTAGTCAATTTCTGATCATGTTTGATTCTGTTTAATGTAGGGTTGTGGAGAGTGTTGGAGAGGGAATCGAGGATGTAAAGGTGGGAGACACTGTCATTCCATCATTCTTGGCTTACTGCGGAGAATGTCCTGATTGCACATCCATCAAAAGCAACCAATGCTCCAAATTGAGATTCGAATTGTCTCCTTATATTAGAGATGGGACTAGCAGGTTTTCTGATACCAAAGGAGAGACAATTTACCACTTTGGCTACACATCAGGTTTCAGTGAGTACACTGTGGTGGACATCACTCACGTTACAAAAGTCGATCCTGCACTTCCAGCCAGTAGAGCATGCCTGCTTGGCTGTGGAGTATCAACTGGTAATGCCATTCGCTTCGATTCTTCCTGGCACAATTCGATTCATTTTGAACTTGTATTGTTCGTAGGACCGATTTCACATTTTCTGTTGCAGATGAGCACAATATAGCTCACTGGCACATTCTTTTTGTAGCGCCGTGACTTACCATCTTGAAAACCTGAACTCTTCTTTCAGGTGTAGGTGCTGCATGGAAAACAGCCGATATTGAAGAGGGTACAACTGTAGCTATTTTTGGATTGGGAGTAATTGGATTAGCGGTAAAGTCTTGCAGCATTCTTATTAGCATCAATGTTTCTTGATTCATACTGCATTAGATTTGTTATAGACCATCAAAGTATTGATTCAGAAGTGGAAAATTTTATAGGTTGCTGAAGGAGCAAGACTTCGTGGAGCTAAGACAATTATCGGTGTGGATCTGAACCCCGACAAAGTTGAAATAGGTAAACAATGCATATTTGAAAAATTTTCAGAGTTCCATAAAGCATAGGCCTCAAGTTGAGGTTGCAATCCCCCATACGATCTCTTTCTCAACTAGCCGGATTTTTGCTTTTCTTCAGGTAAAAAGTTTGGCATCACCAATTTTATCAACCCAAGGGAACTTGGCGGCAAACTTGCGAGCGAGGTATACATCTAATATTTTATACTGCAACAACAGAGCCACTACTATGGAAAACACAGTGTTCTGAAAAAACATAAGTCATAATTTTCAACTGCTGCTTTTTTTTCTGTACAAATTAGGTGATTCTTGAGATGACTGATGGCCTTGGTGCTGATTACTGCTTTGAATGCGTGGGCTTGCCATCCCTATCACAAGAAGCATTTACTTGCTGCAGAAAGGTTCCGTCTCTTAAATGGCACATCATTTTGATCTGTGTCCTAGAGCATTTGTTTTGCTGGTTGCAGCTACTAAATGAGATTTTTATGTGCAATATTTTAACTTTCAGGGATGGGGAAAGACCATCATATTAGGAGTGGACAAGCCAGACTCGCAGTTTATCCTCAACTCCCTAGTGAATAATCATAGCGGGAAGACCATCACAGGCGTCCAATATGGTGGTCTCAAGCCTAATCTTGATATTGCCATTCTTGCAAAACGTTACTTGGATAAGGTAACTGTTCCTTCACCAGGCTTTCAATGGCAATTTTACCACACAATTGTTCTTCACCTGTTGCAAAATTACTACATCTCTTTCTGATCGCTTAAATCTTTGAACACAAATGCAGGAGCTTCAGTTGGACTTGTTTGTCACGCATGAGATCAAACTTGAAGACATCAACAAGGCTTTCAAGTTGCTCATTGAGGGCAAGTGCCTCCGGACTGTCATTTGGTTCGATCAGGAGAGGGCAAGAGCCGATGGTGTGACATTTAATGAAATATAAAGGAGATTAGACTAACAAATACTAGACAAGTTCTGTTGTATTTTCGCGTTGACGTGTGTTAAAATGGTCTCATTCAATTGAGAACCATCCCTCTAAATTTGCTCAAGTTTTGTATTTCACAAGTTAAATGAGAGCCCCAAGCATGTATTCTGTTTCCTTTGATGTGCCTTGAAATTTGATAAATCCTCCCTTCAATGGGTTGCCAAACCATATGAGATTATTCTTCAATTTGCTTTCCTGTGGATATTGCTTCTTGAATTCTTGGATATAAGTTGGCAATAAGAAAACTCTGATTCAACTATGTGTATCGTTCTGGTATACTGGAAAATACCCATGGGTTATACTAGGCCTAATAAATAGAGGAGAAGAATGAATGTGGATTGGAAGAACACCTTCCGCCAAGTGTGAAACTCTCATTCAACTAAGCCTACATAGGCTTTTCACAACATGAAAACTCTCATTCAACACGGCCTAAAAATTTATGTTTCAACTCAGAAGATTTATGTTTCAATACCCAATTGGACCGTACTCGACAGAACTACAAATGGGCTATAGTTGGCTGGAATGGAGGAGAAACATTTGAAGTAGGCTCAAGGACTTTTTTGAGTTACCCAACTTGCCTAAACATATATGACCATAACCAAACTGACCAAAAGATGATGATGATGATGATCCAAAAATGAAAGTATAATCTCCTTAACAGAATTCAAGCATTTGCTATGTCACAATTTTGTTTGAACAATTTGGCATTCTGTTTTTGAGGGTTTTAATTTGGGGATAAGTTAGCTCTATTCTCACATGGGATTGATACTTTATTTATCACAGAAAAGCCAAAATATAGGCATAAGATAAAAAGGTATCGGCCAATTTTAGCTTTATTTTGTTTTTGAACTTTTATTGTGTAATGGTCATTTAGACACAAATCATAACTTCGAGTGAGTGACATTTTCAAGAGATGATTTTTATATTACGTTTAGGATTAATCTTTTATATACTGTGGTATCGTTAAAGAGTTTTAGATGAATGATAATTATATATACGATTAGTGCTCGTTCTCGAATTGGTAACAGGATCCAAGTTTCATTTTCCTATTCACACTCAGGCATCGATTATGAGATGAAGATATAATGCACTTTTTTTGGCACCTTCGGCCGGTGCCCAAGAAAGGGTAAACAACGGTCAAAACCTGAGTCTGGCGGAAACCAAGGAATAGTGTAGAGATAAGAAGCAGGGAAAATGAGAAATGGAATAAAAATAAATGAGTTTGTTTGCTTGACATTTTTTACCTTAGCTTGGAAATAATTTAGTAGAATCTATTTAAAATTTACTCAAAATTTTGAGATAAGATACCCAAAGTAGTTGGTGTGAAAAAAAAAATCAAACTACATCGAGTTTTTTTTTTAAAAAAATCATAGTATCACATTCTTTCTACAAATTCTAGGCACATTTGTCCATTCTTCATAAGATAAATACAAAGGTTTTAGCACTAATTGCACCTCCTCTCATATTAATAGCAACGCAAGACTTTTAATGTGCCAGCATTATGTCCAGCCGTTCAAGGAATTATTTTCTTTACATCAGGCGTTTCACCGTCCAAAATGATTCAATATCTTTACTTGACTCAATTGAAAGTGGCCAACTCTCACATGAGGCATCAAGGAATAATCTCAATTGGATAAGTATATTCTTCTTTAAACAACGAATACTCAGTTCCTTGATAAGTCATCACAATTTACGTGGCCAGGTAGGTAAGTCTTCATTAAATATCGACAGCTAGTCAAGTGAAACACAACATTTTTATTTTGTTTTATTCTTTTTTTCTCGCAGGAGAAGCGTGGATTTAAGAAGCGGAGAGGGAGAAGGAAGATCGAATTCCATGATCTTTTAAGTCACGAGACATCAACCTTAGTCATAAAAATTCCACAATTTAGTCTAAATAACTACGTGATCAATTTTTCTCCCTGAATGATATAAATTGGATTAATTTTTTTATAGTTACGTTATTTTACTTCTCTCCTGTGCATTTTAATTCTTGTTTGACATACAACCGCCACAAGTTTAGTGACAGGAAAAAGAATTGGTATGTAAGTATAATATTTGTCATCTAAATTCTTATCCCTAACCTAAATTTGTCAAAAATAATATTTGTCATCTACAAGTTTAAGTGTGTCAAATGTGGAATCTAAGGTGGCGTTTGGTTCGCACATCGGTATCGGATTCGGATTCAGAATCGGATATCTTGGGTTTGGAATGAGGTCATTCATTCCAATACATTTGTTTGGTTCAAGTACCTGGAATGTGTATCATTACTATAGTTGATGTTTGGTTCGTCAACTCTTTCGGAATGGAATATAATAAATACATTATAAACCCCATCGTAAATGATAGTTATTGGCTCTTTGTAAATGGGATATAAGAAATCTTCACTAATTAAATATATTAGTATAAATGTATTAGTAAATTTAGTCTAACTAATTAATAATTTCTATTAGTAAACATGTATAATTATTAGTATAATTGATAATATTAATTATATTACATAAATTAATATACATTATATAATACATATAAATAATAATAATATTATTATAAGTTTGTAACTAATTAAATTAAATATTATATATATAATTAAATATAAATATACAAATATTATAATATAATTATATAATTATATAATTATATAATATATACAAACATTAATTATAATAATATTTTATATAAATATAATATATATTACATATTAAATATAGTTATTATTATATATTATTATATTTAAAATAATAATTATTATAATTATATAACTTATTAATATTACATACATGTATATATTATAATTATATGCACATATAATATACATTTATAAATATACATATTTATATTATAAATATAATATTATATAATATTAATAAATTTATAATATATATTATATAAGTATAATTATATTTAACTAAATAATTATAATATATAATTATATAATACAATAACATCATTATTATAAGTTTGTAACTAATTAAATTAAATATTATATATAATTAATTATAATTATACAAACGCTATAAAATAAATACATAATTATAATTATATAATATATAAATATTAATTGTACTCATATTTTATATAAGTATAATGCATATTAATATTAGATATAGTAATTATTATATATTATTGTATTTAAAATAATAAATATAATTATATAATTTATTAATATTATATACATGTGTATATTATAATCATATGCACATATAATATGCACTTATAAATATACATATATATTATAAATATATTATTATATAATATTAATAAATTTATAATAATAAATATAAATATAATTATAATTATACAATTTATTAATATTATATACATGTGTATATTATAATCATATGCACATATAATATGCACTTATAAATATACATATATATTATAAATATATTATTATATAATAATAATAAATTTATAATATATATTATATGAATATAATTATATTTAACTAAATAATTATAATATATATTTATATAATGTACTAATATTATAATTATAATATGTAATTGGATTTGTTTCTTGGAATCAAACTTGGGAATCGGACAAAACCCACCAAAATACTTGGGAATGGAGAAACACCAAATTTTTAGAAATCATTCCAAGATTTAAATTCCCATTCTAGTGAACCAAACACCATTTATGGGGTTCATTCCATTCCCCGAATCCGATACCCTCTTACCAAACGCCCCCTAAATTATTATCCCTAACCTAAACACGTCATTTCTTTAGTGTTGGAAGATATTAGTTTCCGAACATCTTTAACTTTGCGCCTTTGTTTAGTATGGGAACAAATAGCCCTTGAATTTTTTAAATGGGTACCTAATAGGCATTATTTGTACACCTAATTTATTGTTTAATTGTACAATATCACATTTATTGCTTCCTTGACATTTAAGCCTATTTGATAACTCAATTCAGTACTTAAATTTAATTGGTTCAGATCTTAATATATTCCGATACTTTTGATAACAGAAAAATAGAACATTTAAATTAAATAAGTGACACTGAATTTAATAGTTAAAATTTACTCCAAACAATACGTGATAAGTTATTCACTTATTATTTGATGTGATATATACTCCAGTAATTTAATGGCTTCAAATTTTAGATTTTAGATTTCAGAGTTTAGTTTTTAAATTTTAATTTTGTCAAATGCATACTACACATATTCCCAACTCAAATTTGCTATTTCACAAAACAGTGCCAAGAGGCCCTTATAACCAATACCTATTAAGCATCTGTTGTACAAATAGATAACATTATGTCTAATGACTAACATCATAATTAGGGGTGATATTGAGTCAGTAGAGTTCGAGTATCGTCATACTCGAGCTCAAACTCGATGCCTAAGTAGCAATACTCGAACTCGAACTCAAGGTCGAGTGAGTGGTTTAAACAAAGTTCAAACTCGATTCGACGTAATACTGGGAGGCTCGAACTTGATTTAATAGAGCTTGAGAAGTTGGTGAATTCGATACTCGAGCTCGACAAATGGTTAGGGTCGTAAATATTGTAAATAATCAACCTAAAAAGTTAATTTAATTATTTATAATATATTAATTAAATATTACATCGAGTACTCAATAGAAATCGATGAGCTCTCGAGTATGATATACATACTCGAGTTTGACTCAAAATCTCAATTTGAGTCATGCAGTTGACCGAGCTACTCGCGAGCTCGAGTCAACCTGCTTGATTAAATTGCACCCCTCATAACATATTACTTCACAATTTCACGATATTTAAAATATGATTTTGGGTTTTGGTGCTATGTTTCCGTGGTTCTTCGTTTAGGGTATAACAGCCCATTTTATATTGGTAAATAAATACTTAAGTCCAATCAAAACAATCAAATCCTTGGTGAAAGTGGAGCTAATCCTAACTATGATGCACTGCGACTTTGAAAGAAGAATGAAAAACGATGGGAACATTTATTAATTGAATTTTTTATATTGTGGCATTTTGTTTTCTATTAGAATATAGAATGAAAAACAATTGTTTTTCTATTATCAAGAATGAATGACAGAGAGAGAATTTAGCCTTTCCTTCTCTACAATTTGGAATCAGAAGTTCCGCCCACATACAAGTGATATTCAAGTTTGCCTTGGACATTTGCTTCCTAATATTTACACCATAGATGGAAAAAGATATACATCTACACCCCTTCAAGAAT